AAGAGAAACTTGCCAGGTTTGAATGAGGGCTGACCACGCTTGCCGCCTGGTGCTTTCCGTATCCGGAAATCGGCATATGAACAGGTTTGATCTCCCTTTGTGTAATCGGTATGGTACAAAAACAGGGTTTCATTGTTTAAAAAAAAGGTTTCATATAACTCCCGTGATCCTTGAAGAGCACCTTAATTTTGTCAATGTATCTTTTTTCTCCAAAGCGGGCTGAAGTCCTTGGACACTAAGAAACAGGCCCACATGTCCTAAGGCCAGTCTCAGTGGAGAGTTTCATTATGTTGTTTTAAGACTGCCATGCCATATAGAATGAAATGAAACTTGGATGAAGCATCTATTCTCAATGTGAAGTTTTATTCCATGGTTTCATATACATTTAATTCTAAGACTCATAGAGAGTTGGTAATCGTGCAAGAGAATTTCATCCCTATGAAATTTATTTTTTCTCTCTCTTTATTAAAACATTGTCATGCCATCAAAAATACATACATGACAAGTTATTAAATACAAATAAAACTCTCTTAAAACTCCCACTAAAACTAGCCTAATAAAAGTAACAAGCCGTGTGGATCCTGCACTTCTCTCGTGAAGGTGAAGCGCACCGTCTTATCAGTGTGTGCGCGCCTTTTTTTTCTTTGTATTTTGATTTGATATAAACGCGTGTGCCTTTTTTCCGTTAATAAATGCGTGTGCCTTTTTTTCTGTTAATAAACGCATGCGCCAAATTGATATGTCCAACAAAAAAAAAGAGAGCAAAAGATGTGCAAGCAGAAGCTGGAGTTTGCAGCAGATTCAAAAAAAAACATGCCGGAGATTTTTTTTTAAATATAGGGGGGAACCTAAGCACATGCCGGTGTTTTTTTTAAAAAATAAAATAAAAATGGGAAAAAAAGCTAAGCACATGCTGGAGATCTTTTAAAAAAAATGGGGGGAAAAAGCTAAGCACACATGTATTGTGCTCTCGTCAGAACCTGAAGGTACGGACATGAAACCAATTATACCATCCATCCATTCCATACAATTTTGATTAGTGCTAACCACGCTTTCTGCGCAGTACTCCTTTAATCGGGAAGGCGGGAGCTGACTTAAACCCCGAAGGTGAGACATCAAACCAATTATTTTATATGTTTCAGAGGTATATTGCAAGTGTTTTATATGGATGTTATAAAATAGATCGTGATATTTCACATGTTGCAATGGTTATACACGTATGTTGGAAGCGTCTGTTCCAAATGTTTCATCTGCTTTTTCAGACGTATTTTGCAAGTGTGCTTATTTGGATATTACATATGTTTGACACCTATGTTGCAAGAGTATATTTGAAATCTTTCGGCTGTTTCAGTCTTATGTTGCAATAAGTGCTTTCACGTTGCAAGTTGCAAGTGTTTTACCTGAATGTTGCATATGTTTCACACATATGTTGCAAGTGTATGTTCCAAATGTTTCATCTGCTTCAGACGTATGTTGCATTCAAGTGTTTCATGTTAAAGTGTTTTATGCTTCAGAGGTATGTTTAGATAGTCATGGGGGCACGGCCCGAGCACCAGGGGAAGGGGCGCGACAAGCTGGGGGCCGACGGATGGGGCGCGCAGCGCGCCTAGGGTCATATGGACGGGGCATGCTCGTCCTCATCCTGGCTCCTAGGTCCCGCCCGCGCGAAGACAGAGGAGGGGGTCAGGGTGAAGGAGCAATGGGCGTGGGGCAGGGCGAGACTGACCGGGGCCGACTATTCGTGCGTGGCGGGACGAGGCAGCCGGGGAAGGACTGCAGTGATACAGTGAGAGTGCGGCGTGTTTCTGCTGCACTGTTCGGTTCCTATCCAATCGAACGTTCGCGCGGCATCAATTCCCCTCGTGAGAAGGTGAAAGCACCCATGTGTGCGTGTGCCTAATGGCTAATGATCCTGCACTTCCCTCGGGCAGTAGTATCACACTGTAATGATCCCATTAATCCGATGATGGATAACCGGTGCGGGACATAATCTCAAGATGTGAAACAGAAGCTATGGTCTATGGATCGTGCCTGATCGTCCTCTGAGCGTTGGAGTTTGCAGCAGATTCAGGGATGACTCGGGTGGAGCTGGAGACTGATGCATTATTGGTGGCACGTTCGGTACTTGGGTGGCCTTTGTTAGTTCAGAATTTGGCATAAGCTCCGATCGGCTCACTATTGGAGGAGGTTAAATTTCATATGTTTGTAAATTTCATTTTTTTCAAAATAAATTGTACGAACACATATGCTCAGTGCTCATAGCATACATGTTCTGTATGGTTCTCTTCTGATGCAGGCCCCCACTGGCCAATGCCGAGACGATACAAAGCTTCTTTGTTTGGTTACTTGTATTGCTCTAACCAGGCTATATCGGGCTATTGATTGGTTGCATAAACTTCTGATCCATTTCAGAGACATCACATAAGCCGAAAGCAGCCAAGCTGCATCGCGCTAGTCATGCCCACGAGAAATGGATTACAGTCTCGTTTTTATGGAGCCAGGCGATGGGAGAATCTTGTATGAGCTCAGCCTGCCCCAAGTCGACATACAAACATTCAAATAATACTTTTGTGCATCCCATGGGCCAGCTTGACCCATATCATATAAGAGCAAGTAAACAGGTTCTAACTCTATGAATGCACGCATGTAACAACTCTATCTCTCGAGCGTCACTAAAAGATTCAGTCGACAGATCTTGCCATTAACGAAGTCACCTCGAATCGCCTCGCTATATGGACGAGTACACATTGTTTACCCCTATAAGAAAAGTATCATCAAATCCTAAAATTAACCCACAAAAAATACAAACATCACTTCATGTTTAGAATTCCGTAGCGCATAAAAAAAACTACCAGAGATTATTTTTAGAAGAAAAACCATTATTAAAATTAAAAAGCTAAGCACACATGTAGTGTGCTCTCGTTCAACCTAAAGAATCTGGGAAGACGCAGACAGGAGACCAATCATCATTCAGTTCAATACAATTTCGTATAGGTAAGATGGCTAACCACGCTTACCGCGCGGTGCTACCCGTCTCCAGGAACCGGGTTATGAACTGTTTTGCTCTTGTTTGCGTAACCGGTGTGGTACAACTGTACAAGAGAAGGTCGAAGTTTTTTTTTTCCAAAGCACAAGAGTATATATTGTGTAAATATACGCGCGAGCGCATGCTTCCATGGACACATGGGCTTTAAGATGACAGGCCTATGATACGGCCCATGTCGCATAACAACCAGCCGACCCGAGTAACACTCGACGGGCCCGCACGCACCAGCAAGTCCAGCACCACAGCTCCCCCTATCGCGGACGCGACCGGCCGAAAAAACGTCGGCGTCGGCGTCGGCGTCACCGTCACGGCCCGTGCCCGTGCAGGCCCGTGGTCACACTCAATACATCTCCTCCCCTGAGGCCCTGACCCTCAGCCGCCTATATTTCGACAACCACATCGGTTTCGCCGGCTCTGCCTCGTCGTGACGTCCACCTAGTCTCCGTTCGCGTGTCTGGCCGGCCGAGGAGGAAAGCAACTAGCCAGCCAGTCACCACACGCGCCCGCGCGCGCCGGCGCCACCCGATTGAGATCCGCCTATGTCGGAGTCCGGCAAGGCCGACGCGCGGCCGAGTGTCGCGCCGGCGCCGGCCACAGCCGATGGCGACGCCGGGGCCGGGCTGACTGACTCTGGCGGCGTAAGGTCCATGGTGGAGCGGTGGAAGATGGACGGCGCGCCGGCGCGGGCGCGGCTGCTGCTCCGGGCCCTGGCGTGGCTCTTCTCCCTCCTCGCCCTCGTCGTCATGGCGTCCAACCAGCACGGCGGTAGCCAGGATTTCCGCAAGTACCCTGAGTACAAGTCAGTACGCTAACCAAACCATTCTCGATCAACCATTGCAACGATCCATGGTACCGATCGAGTGCTGAGTTTCCGAGCGTGCAGCTACTGCCTGGGCATCTCGATCGTGGCGTGGCTGTACGCCACGGCGCAGGTCCTGCGCGACGTCCACCGCCTCAGCTCCGGGCGGGACCTCATCGCGCCGAGGAAGGCGTCGGCCGTCGTCGACTTCGCCGGAGACCAGGTTGGGTTCGTCCGGTGCGCCGTGCGCGTGTGCCCGCGCGTCGCGGGGATCGCAACGATCCGATCCAACCACCGATGCCCAACCTGGCAGCGTCGTGTCGCCAACCGCCGCCGATTACTATACGTTTCTTATCTGTCTCGCTTTTTTCTGATGAAAAAACCGGGAACCTTGGTGCAGGTCGTCGCTTACTTCTTGATATCGGCGATGTCCGCGGCGGCGCCGGTGACGGACTACATGCGCCAGGCGGCGGACAACCTGTTCACCGACTCGGCGGCGGCGGCAATCAGCATGGCCTTCTTCGCGTTCGTGGCCATCGGCCTCTCTGCTCTCGTCTCCGGGTACAACCTCTCCATGGAGGCTCTTGTATAGCCTGTAAATCACAACTCTCCATCTCATGTGTCACGTTACCCAACCTCAACATTGTGCATATAATATTGCCTCCAATTGTTAGTTGACCATTTTTTTTCTCTGTGATCAACAAATTAGTCAAAGTGGGTGTATTGGATTTCATATGGATTTCATATTTTTGCAACTCAAGGTCTGCTATGCTGTGTGGAATCGATGCCTGCTATGCTGTGTGGAATCGATGACGCAATTATCTCCCCTTTTTCAGAAGATGAAATAATTGTTTAGTTATAAGTTATAACTACTGTTTAATTTACATAGACCATGCATGCTATCCTAGGATCATGCCAACCGCAACAGCCTTTGCTGCTGTGGGAGAGGCAGGCCGGTATACAAACAATCGGTCGAAAGAATACAGAAAGAAAAATGAAAGAAGGATTATGGGCGTATACTATACACAAGACTAGCATTATATTACTAACAAAAACGATGACATGGCTGTCCATCCCCAACCTGTCCCCAATGTTCTTGAGGAATTGGTATCTTTCTGCCATGGAAAGAAACACCAAGAGGGCAAAAGGTGGGCATTATGTATCACTCCAACTATCTGCGTCTTCATCGTCACTTCCCACTGCCTGTTCCATATGATGAACAACAGAGATCGGCAAAAGGCCAACATTAACATCAAAATGGAAGCTAACTTGTTGCGAATGAAGCTGAAGTTATGCGCAGAGAGAACCTGTCGGATGGCATTTGCCTTTTCTATGATAGCGGCAACCTTTAAGTTTCTAGTACTGGTTCTAGCAGGGGATCTCATGGCTGTTGGCTTAGCTGGAGCAACTGGTTTCAAGCTGAAGGTCTGATCGGAAAGCAAACAGCAAACAAGTTAAGAATGCACATATATTTGAGTTTTAGTTTTGTTTCTCAATGGAGAAAGCATTTTATTTGCCAACCTTGTTTCTTATCTGTTCTATCAACATGTTTCTCTCATTAGGCTTCAGCTTGTCAGTTGATGGTGCAAGCTCTGAAACTTTTCTCATCTGCAAAAATATAGATGGCTTTAGGTTAATACAGGGACCATAGCTACGACACAGAAAAAATATATCAGGATGAACGCAAATTACCGAGCTTCTATCATGAGCAGCAACAGCATCAACGAGTGGATTCCTTGGGATGTTTTTTATTGAAATAGGCTTCCTGATCAAATGATTGTCGGCGATATTAGGCTCAAATTGGCTCTCTTCTACTAAAATACCATATTTAGGATGAAGCATCTGAGGTCCAACAGTCCATCCCATCACAGGTGGCAGCTCAGCATGCGCATAGCAACCTTCATCAAGGCCAGTGACCAACTCACTTTTATCACCAGGCCATTCCAGGCCATCTATATTTTTGCTGGCCTGGTTTCTGTTTTCCCTCTCTAAATTATATTCAACATGTGGATAATCTTGAGGTGCCATTGGTTCTAAGCTGCGCAATGGGCCTCCTGGTTGATCGTCCTCGGAGCTCCCAACATTATGTTCTTGTAAAAGTTGACTCTCTTGGCCATTCCCTTTCAACAGCGTGCCTGGTGCAGAATGTTTTGCTGTGTCTGAAGGTGCCTCACTTGTACCAGACTGATGCTTAACACTGTCCTCTGATGCATTTGTAATATGCTCTTCATGGTCTGAAGTCTCTGAGGATGATTCACCATGCTGATGTTGCTGGTAACACCTATTTTCAGAAACATGTCCTTTTGTTAGGGTGCTTTCCATGTTGCCAACAGCATCCATTGACTTATCATATCCAGATGCAGCTCCATGTGTTTGGCTGGGATGCTCACTATTTTCTCTAGTATCTGGTTGAGGGTCCTGCAGTTCATATGCAGGTAATGGAAACAGAGGTTCTGGTGAGTATAAAGCTGTTCCATCTGTCATTACAGAATCATCCAGATGTTCCTCATCTGCTGTTGTTGATGTGACCCCAGCATCCAGGTGTTCCTCAACTCCTGTTGCTGATGCAGAAATATGTCCCTCTTGCTTAATGTCCTCTGAAGCCTCTAAGGATGGCCTGTGTTCAGTCCTTGCAACATCAATTACTGCAACCCTGGTCGATAATCTTCCAAAATCTACATTTTGATCATTATGATATATCAAGGAACTCTCACATTTATCTTCTTTGATTTCTTGAGAGGGTACTGGTTCTATAGATCTATCCGTTGGATCAAGCAAACCTAGCCTAATATCCATCTCTTGGCTTGATATCTGCAAAACAGGATCTATTACCCTCACAGGCTCAGTCATACAGCCTTTTCTTCTCAGAAGTCCTAGACGAGGCTTCCCAAGCCTCCATTGGAGAGGAGGGAGAGGGGGTGGTGCTTGAGGATCTTTGTAGGAATCAGGGGGTGGTGCTTGAGGATCTTTGTAGGAATCATTTTGAAATTGTACATTGGGTGGCGGACCAGGAGACCACTGATTCGTTTCCTCACTGCTAGGCATGGCAGAAATACAAGTCAACACTGTTGTGTGAGCTAGTACTGGTATATTTGAAGAACATGGTGCGGTCTGGGAATCAAATTCAGTTGAGCAATCAGATTCCTTCACTGATTGTGGAGCAACTCGAAAGTCTAATTCAGGGGGTGCATGAGTTTCCTGCTCTAGCTCCCCAGGAAGAAGGTTTGGTTGAGCATCTACATATTCATCAATCTTATCTTTAACCAAACATGGAGCGACATTGGAAGCGACATTGGAATCACGGTCATCCGAGACATGGTCTTCTGATTCAAGATCCACTAAAGTGGAACTGCTCAAAGGAGGGCGATCTAATTCATGTATATCCCCATCAGTTGAACATGGAGTGATTTGAGCATCATGTCCATGTGGAACACAAACTTTTGATCCCCGATCCAGTTCATCAGCATTGCTCAAAGGAGGACCATCCAGTTCGTCGATCTTCTCATCATGCAAAGGAAATGGAACTATTTGAGAATCATGTTCACTTGACGTGCAACATTCTGACTTCTGTTCTGCTTGAAAAGAAGTCCTCAAAGAATGATGGAATGATTGGAGGATCATGTTCATTCTGACTTCTAGATTGTCCTTAGTCTCATCAACTGAAGGTGATGGAATGATCGGAGGATCAAATTCAAATCCACCAAAGGCACAAACTTCTGGCCCCTGGGCTAGAACAGGTTTGCCCAAAGTAAGGGCCTCATTCTTCTCACTAGTTGAACGGCGTGGAACATCTTGGTTGTTGTATTCATCCAAGGCACAGGCATGTACCTCTGGTTCCACTGGTACAGCAACATCCAGTCCATCTATTTTTTCATTAATAGAAGAATGTGGAACAAGGTCGGCACGGATTTCCAGCTCTTGTTTCACTTCAACGTTGTTGCTTAAAGGAAAGAAGCATTTTTCACTAGTCTTCTCCTTATGCAGCAAAGGGGAACTACTACAAGAATCAACTCCAGACAAGCCATGCAGTCCCTGCTGTATATCCACTGGAACAGAGAGCATATTTAATTCAGGACTTCTGTTATCATTGGAAAACTCAGGAGATTTTAAATGGGAATATACTCCTGTTGTCTCGCCCTTGTCCTTGAGATCTTCTTTACCAGAAACAGTCATTGATGTAGTGCCTTGTGCATCCACAGCACATGAACATTCAACACACTCAGAACAGAACTTAGAATGAACACAGGCTTCCTTATCTAACTTCACTGGCAAGGCTGAGTTATAACATGGAAAATCTGACTCTCTGACCAGAAAAGCATTTGGAGTTTTGTTAGAATCTGAGGCTGGTTCACTGTGGGAACAATCAGTGACAGATGAAAAATCTATCTCATGATATTCATGGCAGAAGGATCTGAAATCATCTTCAGTCATAATTTCTGATGGTAATGGTGCTTCATCAGGTGGAGTTGCAGGTTCCCAAAGGGCATCAGCAGTTACTCCCATATTGTCATGTTGTATTAGAAGTTCTGAAAGGAAATCCTCTTCTTCAGGGAAACATGGTTGGCAGTTCATACTGGAAGATGGATAAATTTGAGTATGGCTCATCAAGTAGGCAGGATCCAGGAACGGGTTTGTACTACTAGAATCTTGAGCGTGCACCCCCCACGCCAAATCTTGATCAGCATCCACTGGTTGTTTCCCAACTGTGTTACTATTCAGGTTACTGCACCATCCTTGTTCAAATCGCAGAGAAAGAGATCTTCAGCATTATGACTGGCCTCTTCTAGTAATTCCTCTTGATAATCAGATTCTACTAGAAATTGTGTACCATCATCCCTGCCACTACATTTTTCACTTGTAGTCTCTACAATAAGAGGAGGAATATTGTCTGTCTGCAACATACTCTTTTTAGAGATATCTTCTCTTGAGTCATCTACTGCCCCAAGATTTCTGTGAATAGCTTCCATTGTTTCCAAATCTTCCCTGGAAGGAGACTGTAGTTGCAAATCCAGCCTAGTGGCTTCTTCAGTTGAACTTGTAGCCAGAACCTCTGCCTTTTCAGGATGTATGTTAGCATCAATGAACTCTTTGGGAGGTACCACATCATTTGCAAATCCACTAGTAGTTGATTCTTCTGCAACCACAAATTCACCAACCTCTGGAATTTCTTCCGTTTCAGTCAATTCATGTTGTTCTACAAAGGATCCACTAGTAGTTGATTCTTCTGCAACCGCAAATTCAGCAACCTCTGGAATTTCTTCCGTTCCAGTCAATTCATGTTGTTCTACAAAGGAACTACTGGTGTTAGGTAGAAAGGAAGTACTAGGGGCTAGAGGGACACCAATCTCTAGTGCTTTAGTATCATCACTAAATGCACAGGACGTGGGTGCAAGTGTCTCTCCTACATGAGATTCTGTCTCCTCTTGAGAAGCTAATACACCTGAAACGACTCCTGGAAGCTTTTGAGCATCAGTAAAATCCCTGGCCATGGCACATGCTTGCATAGAATCATCCTTGCATGTGTTGAGGCTAGTTGGACAAGTCCTTTGTTCAAGCACAACAATTTGATGGTCCTCTGCAACATGCTTATTGAAAGTAGTTGATAGGCCATCATCTAGTAAAGAGTGCATGTCTTCAGTAATCCCATCATCATATGATTCATACAGTACATTATTGTGGATGCTTGAATGTTTCGGTGAAATTCCTGAATAAACAGAACACCCATTCAAAATGCAATATCAAGTGAGGCATGCGACTATAGCACTTTTTGAAGCATTAAGGAAAAACATAAAGACTAATTATCAACATACCATCTTGACGCTCGTGGATGCCATCAGGATCCAAACCTGTTGGGGTTTCTTTAGGAATTGTAACATTGTCGACTTCTACATCATTCATCCACATAACATGATCCTTATCTGGCAGCGATGCAAGTTTGCTAGGTGAACTTCCTGATTCTGGAGATCTGCCTTCTTCCAATTCTTTCTTCAACTCCTGCATTTCCTCTTGGTTGGGTTTGGTAGGGTGGAGAGACAAATCATCAGCAATCCCAGAACTGATTTTATCTTCGTCTTCTGAAACAACAATAGGTTTGCTCAATACCATAGAAATATCATCCAGTACAACATCCTGGACATGCTCCACTGGATGACGTACTTTATCGGTGTAATTGTTGCGGCCGATAGCCATATCTAACCAGACAAGACAATAACTATGTTAGTAAACGAAAAATAGAGGTAAAGCTAAAACAAGAAAGTTCTATTTACTGTAACAAATGAGAATATATTTTATCGAAAGACTTGCTACTTCAAGTAAGAATTACCATCCAAGTTGCTAGATGTATCGGGTGACTGTTTATCAGAATTATGGATAGCAGCAGCATGATCATCACTCAGAGAGTGAAAAGCTTCCTCCTTGTGTTGTAGACAACTAATGAGACCATCATTGTTTTGTGTGTCGCCATTTTCAGAAACTACACTAGATGATGAGCTCACGTCCATTAGATCCACATCATTAGAAGGCTCTTCATCTTTGGGCCAGTCAACACCATTCAATTGTCTGCCAGATTGTGAACCATTAGTGGCTGACACTGTGGGAGCAGAATCACTTGAAAGTGGCAAGTCCATACAGGTTGGTTCTCCACCACTGCTTGAATTGTCCAACCCTGTTGACGAGTCTATTGCAGGACCTACTTCTGCAGGTTCTGCATACAATGCATTTTCACCTTCCTTGTTGTGACAGTTCAATTCAACCAGTTCAACGCTGGCACTGGGATCACATTCAGTTTCCATTTCAGGATCTTCTTCATCTTCCGAGTCCATGTCATTACAAGCATCGATGAAGTTGTCTTGATCACTCACAATGTCATCAGCCCTGCGGCCATCAATATCTTTCTGATCAGCAGGAACCCCAGCCAATAGGGGTTTCTCTTCACATGTCAAATGTGATCTGTTATTACTTTCTCCAACATCCAAGTTTGGACAATCCTGCACCTTTTCTGAGCCATGGACCATGCCATTTTGTTGAAAAGGTTCATGTTGTTTCCCCAGAATTCGTTTATCCCCTAGCTCCAAGTAAGCTGGTCCATCAGTGGGTTCAGATTTAGTCTCCACGGCATCAGATTCGTTTACTGGAACAATTTTTGTCAGATCCAATTTATCAGAAGATTGAAGGGTACCAAAATTGTCCATTTCTACAAAAGGAGATGCAGTTTCACTTGAGTCAGTTGATCTAAATTTCACATGGTAATGCCTCGCCGAATATCTGGAGATGATTTTTTGCTGCGATGAAATTACTTCTTGCAGATGCTCCCGCCAGATTCTGCTAGTAGTTTTATGATCAGGAGTCTGTGGTTGCCTGGATTTCAACTTTGTTGTCCTAGGTGGAACTTTCCTAGAACTTCGATCCTTGGGGGTAATGTGAGGCCTGCAGGTTTTTGCACAAAAGTAATGTATCATAACATGGAAAAATTCAGTCTAAAATCATATCAGCTAAGACTTGTGGAAACTGGTTGTTTTGGATGAATCTAATGCTCACTAGTCATGCCCAAGAAAATGGCACCAAACTTACTCAGAGTTTGCAGTGAGTAATGATTCAAGAGTTGCCCCTTTCCTCCAACGCATGGCCTTCTTCTGAATAAACAACAAAGAAAGGTAAATAAGTTTTTGATTTAACAGCACTGTTCTCTCTGGAAACTATGGGGCCTCAAAGAACTGGTTGCATCCGGATCTACATACATAATGACATACTAACACAACAAGCACTTACCTGAGGGAAAAGACCAGGTTCTTAGCTATTACCAATAAACCCCAAAACCTATCATCGTCCTAATTTAACGTTTAATCCCACATATAATTTAATTAGCTTGACTCTTATCCCCAATGTACACATTGATTCTCTTTTGGCAAGATCAATTAATCTAAAGGAAAACAATGCCAAGTCAACATAGTCACCATAATATGCAACCAGCTTCACGGGTTCTTTTTGTGAACAAAATAATCAAGAAGGCAAAGTCGCCAAGCATCCAGGACAAAGTGGAAAACAATAATTGGCGAGTTAATTTAGTAAAATATTGGCAAAAATTGACTTTTTTTACTTACCTTAATTCTACGAGGTTTCTTTTCAATTAAAACATCCGTTTCTATCATGTTGGAGGCATGTTCCGTCTTGAACAAAGAGGGGTCTGAATATCGTTTTAAGGAGGCTCCAGCACCAGCAACATCAAACCTGAAGAATAATCCTAGTGTGTAATTGCAGAAAACATTTAAATAGTAAATGTTCACAAAAGACAACATCTACATACTTATCCAACGTGAACAATTGTGGTGGGCCACGGCATTCTTCATATGAATCCATAATGAAACGAGGCATATCTCCTTGTGTGATCACATTCTGATTAAGTTGAAGATTAGCATGCCACTCAATTCCTACAAGAGAATGTGGAGAGATTTTAAAAAAATAAAAGAAATCCAAAAGAAATTAGAAAGGAGGTACGCAGAGCTTTTTTTTTTTGGCTAACCATCATCATGAGGGTAATTTGAGTGCTCAGTCTGAGATATAATAGCCTTTTCAACTGCTGGAAATTCTGCCTCTAATTGCTGCAACCGGAGCATTAAACCATGTCCTCTAGAAGCAGTAGCCATAACCTCTTCGTGAAGGTCATGAAAAATTTCAGCTGCAAACCTGTTGCACATGTAATTCAGTATGAATGAGAAGCCAACTGTAAAACTGCATGTTCACTATTATGAGATGAGTGAGAAAGTATCAGAGATTAACAACTAAACTCCTATATTTTAAACAAGTTGACTACTTGGCTTGAGACTTTATCCAATACTTCTCTTAAGATGAAAACTTATCTAACGAGAATAGTTGGACTTTCATGTACACTGGTACTAACTAAAAAATAACATACAGAATTATTTTTTAAAAAAAATACTGTGATTTTGCAACAACATTGAACTTGACTAGTTGAGCAAATGGGAACAGTAGCTGATGCAAAGATGTTCTGACAGACAAAACAGTAGTACCACCAACTCCTCAACAACAACTAAATATGATTTTTTTTAATTAAAATGCTGAAGTTGAGCCAAAAATAGAACAAATATTCATCAGTAAAATTACACCAAGCCAGTAGTTTGAATGACACATCTAGTTAGTTAACAAAAAGGGAAGTGCCAGGCCACCATTATAGTCTTTTTTAAATAAGAAAATACACGGAGTAAGCAGTAAAGTTTGGTTCAAACCGAACAACAACAAAAGGTCGAGAAAACAGCAACCATAGTGCAAATTCTTCTAATCGTCCTCAAATTACCCCAATTTTTAATGTGCAGACCAGAAGGCTAGCAAAGTTCAGAGCTCTAATGGCAATGCATTCCTTCCACATACATTGTAAGCACTCTCATTGGATCAAGAAGTACTCCCTTCGCTCCAAATTGTAAGACGTTTTGGCTTTTCTAATACATTGCTTTTACTATGTATCTAGACATAGTGTAAGTGCATAGCAAAAGCTATGTATCTAGAAAAGCCAAAACATCTTACAATTTGGAATGGAGTATTTCTTTGCAGCTATGAGATTCACAACGCAATGCCCTTAGGTATTTCGCCAGTAGGAAACCCCAATGGTTATGCAAATTCTCCTTCAACAGACCCAACAAAGGTCAAATACTCTGATGAAGCCCTGATTATTGGCTGCAGAGATAGATAGATGTGACTAAGTAAGGTCAAATACTTCACATTCTTCAGCGTCTTTCCACCTCAACCCATGTGTGCAAGTCAGTTGATATTATATACCTATATAAAACGCAACAGATTTGACTTGCACAGCGAAATAGAAATATGCACTCCAAAGTCTAATCTCATCACTCGTGTTATGGTCAACTACTAGGCGAGACGTGACAGACAAAAAAATCTTTCGAAACACCTCAAATTCTTGCAACAAAGACACCAGACAGTGTAATTCCCACATTCACCCATCTCAGCAACCCTGGAATGGATGCAAATTCGATTCGCAGACCCAGTTTGTGCAGAAATTCAAATGGCACTCCCTTAAAATTATCTCTAGAAAAATCCAACACCGAGGGTCCGCTTAAAAAAGTCGAACCATTGCCAGCGAAATGCAACTTGGAAAACAAAACGAAGAAGGTGAGTTCCTCGCCCAACTGAGGCCCTCAGATTGAGCGAATAAGCTGAGGAAGTCGCCCAAAATTTCGACCAAATAAGTAACCAAACTACACTGCACTGTACACAAACACCTCCCAAAACAAAACAAAACGAAAGGCAACCAGCACAAATCGGCTGCGACAGAACAAGCCCCGAATCACAAACTACGTACAGGACCTATATAGAGCTTTAAACACAAAATCGGGAGAACAGGCAGCGCCACTCACTCCGCGAGATCCCCTAGCTGGCGGAGCACGCCGACGAGGCCGGCCATGGCGACGCCCTCGAGGAGCGCCTCCGGGTCATCCTCCTCCCCGTCCCCGGGGGCCGCGTACATCTCCGGATCCGCCAGCCCATACTCGTTCCGTATCTGGTACCGTATCATCCCCGCCCGCCGAGAGCCTCCGCCTCACCAGCGCCGTCCTTCCTCCCCGCCCTCCCCCCTGCCCCCGTGCACCTCAGGACCCCGCCATTGGCGCGCGCGCCGCCCCGTAGAGCATCTGGTAGATTTCGCGGGGTGCGCTTAGCGCGTGAATTTTTCAGCGTGGCGACTGGCGAAACGAGGAAGACAAGGCCCCGGAGTGAGGGTAACGAGATTTATGCGGCTAGCACATTCTTTCACATCTATAACAGCAGCGTCACGGGCGGGCGAGGCGCTGACGACCGGGGCCCGCGCGCCCTCGTGCCCCGTGAAGATATTCTTGTCCACTAGTACCGCGCGGGGCTCCGCCGGCTGCCAGGTGGGCCAGGACGCTGGGCCGTAGGTGGGGCCCGTTGTTTATTGATATTTGGAAATTATTAAGGGGTTAGATTGGGTGGTTTGGGTTTTGACGGTGAGGGGCCCAGCGTTGAACCGTGCTGAGCTGGCAGGAGATGGGGGTATTTATTTATTTGTCTCGTGGACGTATAGACGGCTAGACGCCTCTTTGTTAGTCATCATCATTTCATTTGGGTTTCAGGCAGCTCTCGTCTCATCCGATATGGCAGCTAGCAAACTGCACCCAACAAGTGCGTTTGGTAAAGCTCCAGCAAAATAAAGCAGCCTGAGCAGCAGTAGTAGCCAAGGGCAAGTCGAATTAATCAGAGTTCAAGTGAGGCGAGCTAGTAGCGGAGTGCACCCAGCAAGTACGGAGCGCAACGCACTTGAGCACACCTTAGGCCCGTTCGTTTCGGAAAAAAAAACGAAACATTGTTCTGGCTGATTTGTCGTGAGAGAAAAATATTATTTTAACTGAAAAAACAAGCTAAAAAATATGAATTATAAGAGAAACGAACGGGCCTTTTATGCGCGTTAATTTTGGTGTTATCACCTGCTATCGGACGCTTTTAATGGCAGGTGACAGTTAGGGCGTGTTTAGATCTGAAAATTTTTGGGTTTCGGTATTGTAGTATTTTCGTTTGTATTTAGTACTTAGTGTTTAATTATGGACTAATTATGTTCGAAAGTTTCGTCTCGCGATTTCTCATCCCTAACTGTGTAATTAGTTTTTTTTCGTCTACATTTAATACTCCATGCATGTGCCGCAAGATTCGATGTGACACTTATTGTGCAAAATTTTTTGATTTTTGGGAACTAAATGGGGCCTTAGCTTTCCCTTGGCACGCACCTGTGGGCTGCGGACGAGACGTCACTGCAGCACGCCAGTACCGGCACAGCAGAAACTAGTAGCACCGGTTAGTTGGAATTTGGTTCCTCCCGAATTTTTTGTGAAGGTGCTTGCTTTTGAAGTGTGTTTTGTTTTGCTTGTTTTTGTGATAAAGCGCTTTATACTAGCTTTAAAGCTCGACTGGTTGGTTCTTCTTTTGCTACGCTAGCTACGCCTAGCTACCTGTTGCTGCAGAACAAAATAGTGAGCATGAGCTGTCCTCATGTCTCTCTCGCTGCACGTTCTCATTTGGTATTCGAGCTTCCACTCGGATCTCGGAAGCGTATGTTCACCACCCTACGCTTGCAGTCAACGTTTCTTATCAATCCGTCGGTCTGTAGCATAGTGCATGTCTTTTCGCACACGGATACAACAGGTAAGGTAGCGTACCCAGCAGCAGGAGATCTGATGACGAACGTTTTTGTGTGCTATTAAGAGTGAGGTGTGCCGTAGCACCTAACTGATGTGGGCCACCGTGACCGTACCTTTTCGATGAAGTTTTTGGTTGGAATCATCGCCGCCGAGTACACCGACTGGAAGTCTGCGACACCTGCCGCAGCTACAGGCCTACAGCTACAGCTCCGGAACTGGTGTTAGTTACGCATGCACCCTGTTCCTGTTCGTTTCCGTTTCAAAGAAGAAAGAAAGAAGACATGGCTGTCTTTTAATCATGTGCCTGTTTAGTTCTCAAAATTTTGCAAAATTTTTTAAGATTCTTCGTCACATCGAATCTTTAACGTATGCATGAAGCATTAAATATAAATAAAAAATAAAATTAATTACACAGTTTAGACGAAATTCACGAGACGAATCTTTTAAGCATAATTAGACTATGATTGGACACTAATTGCCAAATAACAACGAAAGTGCTACAGTACCATTTTCTAAAAAAATTCGCCAACTAAACAAGGCCCAGGTAAGCATGTGCAGAAGCAGAAGAACTGTGTCGATTGCACACCGGTGCTGTCTTGTTCGCCCTCCGGAGTCCAGAGATGACTAGCTACTCGGCAAGGGTTACGCAGGCTGTTCGGTTGGCTGGTTCGTATCGTTGCTGGTTCGTGAAGAAGTATTGCTGGCTAGTTTATGTAAGAGAAAAATACTACTTCGATTAAAAATTTACTATCGTTTACGTTAAGCCACAGCCAAACCAACGTGCCGACGGTTTCCTGGATTCACGTTCACCCACAGAAAGTGAGGCTGAGGCTGGCGGCGAGCACGCGGCCAGGACTGAGGGGGACAGAGGCGGTGTCTGTTGCTACAGAGGCTCCCTGGCCATTTGCCGGCCGGGCACGAGATCGCGCTGCATGGCCGACGAGGAAGAGGACGGCGTCAAAGACGGGCGTTTTGGCACCGAGCGCCGCGGGAATAATTGCGCGCCGGGCCACTCTGGTCTGGCGGTTGGGCGTTAGCGCGCGCCTTGTCGCCGGAACCGGCCGGGCGGTCGCCACTGGCCACTGCCGCCGCCCTTACTCTCTTTACTCTTCTTTACCTGCTGGCTGCTGCGGTAGCTGGGGATGCATGGCGCGCTGCTGCCTGCCGGCTGCCGTACCGTGCGGAACTGCTCGGTCCGCAGGGAGACGAGATGAGCACGTGCCAGCGGTCAGTGACGGACACTGGCCAACAGGAAAGGAGCTCGCCGCCAGGTTGGGCCGTGCGCCTTCCTCCTCCACAGATAAATTTCGGCCTCCTACACTGCACTGCGCCCGTGGGTTGGGCCGCGAATGGACCTAGTCTTCGACATGGGCTGGCCACGGATTTGGAACGCAGACACGGACAGGTCGGCCCACTGAAAACGCCGAGTGCCGACCGCCACCGAAGTGGGCGGCTGACACTGCGTGTTGTCAGAGTGCTGGCTTATCCCGATCAAAAAAAAAGTGCTGGCTTATCGAGGAAAGAGAAGAAGAAAGGGAAAGAAAGCCACTAAGCACGGATGATTTTTTTTAGGGTGTGTTAGGCAGGCTTTTTTCTGGCTCCGGCTTTAGCTCCTCCGAATAAGCCCTACCAAACCATTTAGATGGAGGAGCTATTTTGAACACTTTTTCAGTGAAAAAAGAGAAGTTAGAGCCGTTTTTTTTTTTTTTGAGCCACGAGCTCCACCGGAGAAGTTCATGGAGAGGATCCCTCCGGAACACTCCTTTTAAGTGCCATGACTCAGCTCGAGATGTGATCAGATCACACGGGAATGAATGAATAAAGATTAAAGAAGGAACGCCGAAAGAGAGGAGAGAAATTAGAGCGTGTCCGCCGGTCCGGTGTCCATACTCCATTCACCACCTATGCTGCTCACACGTGTACTACCTGACGAAGTGAACGCAGATTTGTCTTTCCTGAATTCCTCCTGCTTTCATTTTATTATTACCACCAAAAGGCTTCCTCTTGGTTAAGGGGGCGTTTAGATCCAAAATTTTTTGGATTTTGGTTTACTGTAGCATTTCGTTTGTATTTGATAATTAGTGTCTAATTATGGACTAATTAGATTCAAAAGTTTTATCTCGTGATTTCTCACCCAACTGTGCAATTAGTTTTTTTTCGTCTACATCTAGTACTCCATGTATATGCCGCAAGATTCAATGTGACAGGTACTGCGCAAAAATTTTTGGAATCTAAACAGGCCCTGGAAGAATCTGAGATCTAGATGCAGCTGCGCAATCTGAAACCGTGTTGTCAGTTTGCCAAGCTGCTTGTTTGTTTGTTTAGGTTGTGTTTAGTCCGTGAAATAAAAAATTTTGGATGTTATATTGGATGTTTCGGAAATATCGGAAGGGGTTTTCATATACTAATAAAAAAACTAATTACACAGCTCGTCTGGAAACTGCGAGACAAATTTATTAAGGCTAATTAATCCATCATTAGCGCATGTTAGTACTGTAGCACTTATAACTAATCATGAACTAATTAGTCTTAAAACATTCGTATCGTGATTTCCAACTAAATTGTGTAATTAGTTTTTTTTGTCTATATTTAATACTCCATGCATGTGCCGTAAGATTCGATGTAATAGTTTGGGGTGAAATTTTTGAAAACTAAACAAAGCTTAGTCAAATTTGATGGTGGAAACCGAGCTGCCATTGCCAGTACCGCTGCTACTAGACTACTAGAGGGTATAGGCACCTGCCTGCCTGAGCGCCCTCCTGGTCAAACTTGGCGAGGAGGGGAAACGAAGACGCGTCCGTGCGCCGAGTCTGGTCGCATCGCAACGCATTCGCCCCTGCTTTGCCTTCGCCGCAGCCGTCGGTCCGGCCCTCCCTAGCCCGTGCCTGCGCGCGCCGCGGCGGCGATGGATATGGAGGACGCGGCGGTGCCGGCGCTGGCGGTGGTGGACGCGCGGTTCTGCGCGGCGGACGCGGCGACGCTGGCCGTGGCCAAGGCGCTGAGCATGTCCGGCAGCGACTTCGCCGTCACGGACGCGGCCACGGGAGCGCTCGTGCTGCGCGTCGACGGTGTGCTCTTCACCCTGCGCCGGCGCTGCGTCCTCGTCGACGCCGACCGACGCCCCGTCCTCACCGTCCAAGAATCAGTTTGTTTATTCATCTCTCTCGCTCGATCTGTTCCGCTTCCCCGCCTCATGTCCTCCTTCCCCTGAGTCCTGACGCGCGCGCGGCTGCTTGGAATTGGAACGCAGGCGCTGATGCTGAACACGCGGTGGAAGGTGTTCCGGGGCGACAGCACCCGCCGGCGGGACCTGATGTTCACCGTGGTGAAGCCGTCCGTGATCCAGCTGCGGGGGTCCACCAAGGTCAGCGTCTTCCTCGCCAGCAACGACGCCGAGCAGGCCTGCGACTTTAGGATCACCGGCAGCTACCACGACGGCGCCTGCGCTGTCTGCCTCGGCGACTCCGACACCGTCATCGCCAAGGCAAGTGTGGAAGTGTCTCCTTCCCATTTGCTTTCTTGGACAGTTGGACTGAGAATGGATTGGCTGCCGCCGCAGATCGACCGGCGGTTCAGCGTGGTGAGCGCGCTGCTGGGGAAGAACTCGTACAGCGTCACCGTCAACCCGGGCATCGACTACGCCTTCGTCGTCGCGCTCGTCGTCATCCTCGACGAGATGCATTTCCAGCGATGACACGCATGTACGCTTCAGTTTTGGTTCCAAGCACGCCCGCCGCGCGCCTTCAGTTCTGCTGCTCCTTGTGTTTGTGTTGTCCTGATCGGTCTATGCAATACAGTACGGAGAGTGTAGTAATTTTGACGCCATTGGTGTTGCTCCATTTGGGGTTTCCTGTGGGTTGTGATTGGTGTGCCTTTGACAAGGCTGTCACAACGATAAGTACAATTTGAGAATGTCCCTTTCCTACAATTTGAGGCTGTGGGTTTTGGAAGTTTTATCAGAAGGAGAAAAAAAACACAGCCGGAGTGTCGGACCAGATTATTTTTCCTGAAAGATCAGTGCAACGCTGACCTTCAGAGTTCATGACGCGTCATCATTGAAAGATGGCGCACCGCGGTCCACCGCGCTGATAGGAAAGAACGCGTACAGAGTCCAGGCATTGACTATGCCGACTATGCCCTCATCGTCGACGAGATGCATTGTACTGCTCCTCCGTTCCAAACTAATGGTCGTTATAATTTTTTTTTATACATCTATTTTACTATACATCTAGATGTATATCGAATGAATTAAAAAATTTAAAACGACTTATAATTTGAAACAGATGTAGTATTTACTAGAGATGATATATTTTTTATATAAGGGAGCAAAATTTCAGTACACAGCCGAGAGTTGAGAATTAAAAAAGAAGCCATAAGGCTTGCAAACCACAAGAAAAGAAACAAAATACAGCATGAGCGCCTAGCTAGCGAGCACAACTCGTAAAGTGTCGGTGCAGAAAGTGACCAACAAGTAAATATTTATAGTTTTGACCTACGTTGTGATCGGAGGTGGCCTAGCACTCAATGACACAGGGTTTGTACTCGTTCAGGCAACGTGCCCTACATCCAGTTTGAGTCGGTCGGTGACTTTATTCCTAAGCCCGGGTGCTCGAAGTTTGCAATGGGGTTACAAACGAGAAGGAGAAAGATGAGGGTACAAGAGGTCCGGTCAGACTCTGGTCAGAGGGGCCGAAAGCGACAGGAGTCCCGCTATGAGCTAAGTGTTCAAGCGTGTGCTCGTGGTTTAAACCTGACGGTTCTGTGGTTGTGTACTAGTGAACTTGATCGATCTAATGAATCTGGAATCACTTGAATATTGAGAGAGAGCGCATCCTCTTTTATAGATGAAGGGGATGGCCTTACAAGTGAGAGGAAGAGAGTACGTATGTTTCTAAGCCTTGTTACCCACGGCAGCGGGTACAGGATGTTTGTAGGCGCCCACAACACTATTGAGTGTTAGAGGCACATGAGAGGTTACTGCGGGTATGACAGATGTCGGTACTTGCTATACTGTTGATGCCCAGAGGCATGTGAGGAGTTCTACCATGTTCACTCGGTACGGTAAATGTCAGCGCCCACAACACTGTCGATGCCCAGAGGCATGTGGGGGTGCCTTACCGTATGGGAGTTAATGACGCCCACAATACTGTAGGGAAAAGGTCGGCCCCTACAACACTGTTTGGGCTCTGTTGTGCCAGGGATGGTCGTAGGGTACTACCTGGCAGGTGCGTAGGGTATGGTCCCTGTATTGCGGTTTTGACTTGTGCGCCCTACCTTACTTTCTCCGGACGTTTCCTGGTCCTTACCGAGCGAGCGTCCCCGGTCGGTTGGTCCCAGTCGGCTCTGATCGCGCCAGTCGGAGAAGAGCAGCGGGCAGGGGCTTGGCGTATCCCCGGTCGGAGAGCGCGCGTCGGAGTCGGAAGCGGTGCTTTTGGCAAGGCCTTCCGGTCGGAGAGGCCGTTCGGAGGCGGGCCTGAGACCGAAGCGAGCGCTCCGGTTGGAGAGGTGGGCCGGAGTCAAAAACGGGCGCTGTTCCTCCTCGGCCTGGCCTTTCGGTCGAAGATTGGATCGCTCCTTCGACCTGCCGCTCAGGTATTCAGGCCGGCCCATGAGGTGCGCGTTGTTCGCAACGTTGCCTTCTGGGCCGAGCCTCTGTTGGGAAGCCGGTCCGCGAGGGACCCTGGGTTTATGAACCCGACAGGAGCCCCCAAGCCACCGGGTGATTCGGGTAGAATAGTCTGGGGGATTTTTGTCTTGACGATGGGTGCGCGCGAGCGCACCCGCGGGTGTAGCCCCCGAGCCACCGGACGATTCGGGCAGAATCGTCTAGGGGTTTTTCATGTTGCCAGCGAGGGAAGTTTTCGTTTTTGTCAGCGGGTGCGCGCGAGTGATTCGAGCAGAATCGTCCGAGGGGTTTTGTCAGCGGGCGTGTGTGCGTGTGTTTTTTAGTCGAGACAGAGTCGTCAACCAAGGTGTCGTTGCGCGATGAGGTGTTTTTTTGTTTTTTTGGAATCGGGCGAGACGGAGCTCGCGGATCCTGGCGTCGGTGCGCGCCGTGGGATCAGACGAGGCAATTAGTATAGAGATCGAATGAGACAGAGCTCGCTGATCCTGGCGTCGGTGCGCGCCGTGGGATCGGGTGAGTGAGTCGTGGATGCTGGCCTCGGTGCAGCCGAGGTAGTTTAGTATAGGGATCGAACGAGATGGAGCTCGCTGATCCTGGCGTCGGTGTGAGCCGTGGGATCGGGCGAGTCGGAGTCGTTGATCCTAGCGTCGGTGCAGCCTGTGCAGCCGAGGTAGTTAGTATTGGGGTCGGACGAGATGGACCTTGCTGATCCTGGTGTCGGTGCGCGTCGTGGGATCGGGCGAGTCGGAGTCATAGATCCTGGCTGAGGTAGTTAGTCAGTTAGTTTAGAGATCGGGCGAGCCGGAGCTCGCGGATCCTGATGGGGCGAGTTCGAGGTCGTAGACCCAGGCGTTTGGTGTGCAGTCAAAGTGTAGCCGGGTGGGGCGAGTTCAGGGTCACATACCCAGGTAGTTTTGGAGTGCAGTCGAAGCGTAGCCGGATGGGGCGAGTTTGGGGTCACAGACCTAGGTAGTTTTGGAGTGCAGTCGAAGCGTAGCCGGATGGAGCGAGTTCGGGGTCGTAGACCCAGGTAGTTTTGGAGTGCAGTCGAAGCATGGCCAGATGGGGCAAGTTTGGGGTCACAGACCCAGGTAGTTTTGGAATGCAGTCGAAGCGTAGCCGGATGGGGCAAGTTCGGGGTCGCAGACCAAGATAGTTTTGGAGTGCAGTCGAAGCGTAGCCGGATGGGGCGAGTTCGGGGTCGCAGACCTAGGTAGTTTTGGAGTGCAGTCGAAGCATAGCTAGATGGGGCGAGTTCAGGGTTGCAGACCTAGGCGTTTTGTGTCTTGAGCCCCCGAGCCCCATTGGGCTTTAGTAGGGGTCAGTTTTAGTTGTGTGCGTTACCCCGTCCTCGGTTCCTCACAACCGGAGGGGTTGAGTTTTGTCGCTTGTTCCGATCGCTCGGGCTCGAGTGACGCGCTCGGTGAGTTCGCTAACGGGTATGATCGAGTGGAATCCGGGTCCGTCGTTCATGACGGGGTCGGCATAATCCTCTTGTAACATTCCACTACTCCTTTACCTACAATCCGGCAAATGCCTGGGTCATTCTGGAGACCGACCCGGGTGGCCTAATGGCCTCCCCTCGATGGAGATTCTGTGGGCTTGGCAGAGGCTTACGATCGAACGAGAAGGTTGAGATGACCCTGTCTACCAGACTGGGCGAGGGCCGCACTGGACTCATCTGCGTTTTCTCCCCTGGCTCTGTTTGATGTGGGGCAGCCTCGAGCCCTTCGTGGGCCAGCCTTCGAACCCCAGTCGGTCATTGTTCATGTTGAATGAGGCAATTGCCGCTTCGTGACGCAACACGGAGCGTTGTGATGCATTTCGCTGCACGTGCGATGCTTAGTTCCCGAGCCCCCGAGCGGTTCTAGGCCCGAATCGTTCGGGGGGCATGGGCGTATGGAATGAATGCGCGTATGGATGTATGAATGAATTATATAAAGAAATAGCTGAGGGTCGGTAGTGTTACCTTAATGACTCGAGTGATAGGGTTTAGAGAGCTTCAATCGGAAATGTCCGACCGGGACCCATGCTCGTCGTTCGTGACGGAGTTGGCATGGCCTACATGGGGCATCCCTTTGCTCCCTACCAGTCTCTCGGTGTGTTTTTTGAGCCGTTCGATCGACTTAGGAAGCCCGATGGTCTCTCCCGACGGAGATCCCGTTTTGGGTTTTCCAAGTCCCGCCTAGGGATGCGGAGAGCTGCCTGTGTATGGTGACGCTTCAGTTTTCATGCCCAGTCGTGCGATAGTGGTGGGCCATACCCAGGCCACGTCTTGTCTTGCCAGGCGACGTTCCATCTGACCAGGCGTCGTTCCATCAGTCAGGGTGTGTCCAATCGTTTCCCATCCGCATTGAATAGGGGAAGGGAGAGAGTTTTTCGCTCTAATCTTTTGCCCCTCTTTGGCTGTCGCGTTTCTTCCTTAAATTGGGGGGGGGGAGAGAGAGGGTTCTCTAATGCAGTGCTTTGCCTGTTCTCCAACTATTGTCTCTCTTCCTTCTTCCTCTTCACCGAGAGTGCCTGTATGCCGTGGCGGTTCCTAACTGAGAGAGGGGATGAGCGAGGGGGAGGACTTATAGATCATTTCATGAATTCGAAGTGCGATGTTAGGCTGGAGGCTGCCCGGGGTGGTGCTGACTGTCTCTGCCTGAGAAGGGGTGGCTTTCGCCGAAGGGGGTGGTGTGCTGGATTCATCTATGAGGCGTTCTTCGGGATGGAGCCGTGTGTGGACTTTCTCCGGTGGATCTTCATCGGGCAAGCCTTGTCGGAGGGGAAGTTTCTTAGGATCGTGCTGGTGGAGGGTTCCGTGCCTGCAACTGCTCAGGTTGGCTAGTTTATAAAGTTTGATGATATCTCTTCCAGCCATGGCGATCGTACCTCGGGAGCGACGTCCCTGCCTAGGAGCTGCCTCGACTGCATGAGAAGGTCAGGAGCTCCATGCTCTTCTACTGAGCATCTATGGGTGCAATGTCCTTGAGGTACCCGTTGCGTTCACCAAAGTCGAGGGAATAGAACTGGGCGGGTCCCTTGAGGTACCCATTGCGCTCGCCAAAGTCGAGGGAACAGAA